CACTGTATATGAATGATATGACAAATGATATAAATTAAGTCAGCTTCATAATGATGTCATCGAGCAAATGATGTAAATTGATACAAATGATATCATTTGCATAATGATGTCATTCTACAAATGACTTAAGTCATGGTAGAATTTGGTCTGTTTCATGCAGTCTGTTGTTTTGTGGTCTAGTAAATTGAGCCTCCGCTATATTCCTGGGAATGGTATTGTTTTATGGAATACTTTTGCTAACACAAGCAGCTGAAGTCTTGTGTAAACTGCAGGTGTGCCATTTAATCTAAAAGACAAATTCAAGATTAAGTTCTCAAAATAATATATGCTGCCAGTGTATTTTAGACAGGAAGTTGTGGTTGTGTAATTCTGTCACTGCGCAAAGCTTTATAGAACTTTATAGACATTAGTAACAAACTTCTTTGGCTGGTTTCCCATGTAACAAATCAAGGAGCAGATTTGTGGTGCTGCTGAGGACAGAAGACAGATCTCTTCCATAAAGCTAACCCAGTCCTCCTAAAAAGGGATGTGCAACATCTACTGTTTCAAGGACACAGTATTTTGTGGAATTCAGGAACGGTTAATTTGTCTTCCAGTCCATATCAGTCCAGGCGTTCCAGGAGTGGCCTGGGAGTTTTCCAGTTCTTAATCCTCTGAACTGGAAGCATCTTACAGTGTTCCAAATTCCAGACATATAGCAGTTCTTTGTCATGCAGAAAACTCAGGTCGAAAACATCATAAAATATTTTCAGTTTGGAGGATTAACTTGGAAAACTGCAAGAATTAATAATGAGGTAACAGTATGCTGATTGGCAGAAAGCAGAAGGATGTCTGCTTTTTGGATTGCATGTTTTGGACTGTCAGGAATGATACCATTCTGTGTCCTTGCTCTCCTAAATTAATTTGGCTTTTTCCCTTCATACCGTCTTTAATCTCCTTTGTTGTTTATAGGTTATCAGAAATAATAAGGCTTGGAAATGCCCCAAAGTAAAATTGAGATTTACTGCAAACATTCTGAAATTTCTGTTCGTAGAACCATGTAAATTAAATACAGTTGTATACTGTCACATCCCTCCCATTATGTTTGTCTCTTTTAAAATGCTAAATCTGAGATACAGAGTTTTAATAGGCTCCCACAACATGCTTTCATTTTTTTCTTAACATTAAGTAAAAATGAAAATGGTAGATTTAAAATTAAGTGTATAAATTATGAGTCATCTTTTGCATCACTGTGTTACACCATTTACCTTTTCAAGCAGAGAAGCAAAATGCAGCCTGCAGGCCACATGCAGCCTACTGGCACACCGTTTGCAGCCCCCAGAATCCTCCAGATTAGGACAAAGCAAAAATCAGTTTTTAAAAAAACCCAAAACCCTACCTTTGTTGTGCTTTGGGGGAAAGGGACAAAGTGGTTATTTCGGACTTGCAGAGCTTTCCCATGCATTGGGCCTATATCCATTTTTGCAGTGCAGTCCTCAAACTGTGATCGAAAGCTTGATGTAGCCCTTGAAGTTGCACACTCAGTTGCGGAAGCATCACCTCTGCAGTTAACTTAGATCAGTGTTGTCCAAACTTGGCCACTTTAAGATGAGTGGACTTCAACTCCCAGAATTCCCCAGCCA